TAAAATATTGACATGTAGATCAATAACAGAATAAAAGATCCAACTCTGCTCAAATTCTGCTCTTGAATGCTTTCCAAAGCAATAACTGCCTCCGGGAAAATGCCAGCGGGTACTTGGTTTTGCTGCTGCTTACTGGAGACAAATTCTTCAGCTCTTACCATGGCAATGCCCCTGAAATAAGTACCTGGTCCTGCCTCTGCTGGGGGATGGCGGGAGCAGAGACTGCTGCTCCCTCCTCGCCCCAACACAGTTGTGTCCTCGCGTTGTGTTGACCAGCTCATCACTGTATCGTAAAGAGCTTACCTTTAGGATTTTTAGATGCTGTATTTTGCTTCTAAAACCCTTTGCTCTATGAAGCAGATGCAGCCTAATTTTGCAAAGATCCAAACATGTTCATCTCAGTGAAATTTTCATTCAGTTTAAAGTTTGTCACGTTATAAATAAATTTAAAAAGGCAGTCCCACATCTAACAGCAAATCTCTCTGAATGCCTTTCCTGCACCCTACTGCTTTATGTATAGGAGAGGCAGAGAGATGTAACAGATGAAACATTTTGTTTATGAAGTGTCTATGTTTTGTTTTATTTCACATGTTTTTGCAATATAGATAACAGATTACACCACAGAGCTTTCATTGCCTTGTGCTATAAAGATACTATAAAGTCTTTCTGGGTATTAATAATAGATTGTGTTGATGAGTTTGGAGAAGCTGGCAATAGACCCCCCACTGTAAAGACATTAACACCACAGGACTAAGGTATCTTTCCCTTGCAAATCAGTTGCTAAATTGGCTGTGCTGATGGGTTTGGGCACACGCTCTTGTACAGCACCCGTGCAGCAGGCACAGGAAGTTATTTTGTTTTATACTGGCAAATAAGTCATTTTTGCCAGCCAAGAAATAACTTAGAAATTACATCTGAATTGCTTTGACACATGATTATTTTTTTCTGTAAAAGTGAAGGCCGGGGCAGTGAATCACCAACAGTACAATTTCCCTGCTTATAGGGCCTGTAGGGTGAATTTTCATATAAAAATTGTATTAGAAGAATTTCCCTGTGTTGTTTGCGATGTAAATTCAAAGGCAACTGTAAATTCAGTATGCCACTTAGTGAACAAGAAGGATAAGGCATCTCATCAGACGAGTGAATATTCAGCACGCTGGAGACAGGCAGTCCGCACACAGAGCTGGGCTGTGAAGTAAGACGCCCTCTCCATGCAGAGCGCGAGCTGCTTAGCCCTCTGGAAATCAGCGAGGTTGTACAGGTAGGAAATAAAGATGGATTTAGTTTAATGTGTGTAAATAACTGAATAAAAATCCAAAGGAAGTAAACCAAAAAAAAACATTGGTTTTCGGTAATGACCTAGCTAAGCAGAGCTGCAGCAGAAGTACAAAATCCCCAACACCTACTATGCTTTTATAGCACTTCAGTATAATCTGAAGCAATACAAAAAGCACAACAGCAGAAGCCCATTTAGCCTTTTTTAAACTCATAGGCAAAAATAATGTTATTTCCCAAATGTTTGCACTGCCTAAAAATATAATTCTAACAAAATCATTTTGTTAATCCATGAGGCTTCTTAATTGCAGCCCTGGCTTTATCAAGTCAATTGGCGCCCTTAACTTTTATAACAGTTTCTATTCTACGGAACAGATTAGGAGAAAATTGCAGCCATAATCTGTACAGTGCAATTGCCATGCTATAAAGAGGAATGGGAGTAGCTGAGAAGAGCAATTGGATTCCCAAAGGTGGAGCACAGTAGAGCAATATCAGTGACTTTGTAAATGAAAAATTGTTTTAATTCCCTTCTAACAGCAATAATTCGATTCTTCATAAATTTTTCCATCAAAGTGTTGTAAGGAATAATGCTATAAAATAGAACTGCGTGGCAGTGATGGAAGACAGTTGAACAAAGTGGTCAATTAGGGGATGAAAATTAAGCAAAGAGGAGAATCCATTCTGTCACATTCTGCTTGAAGCGAGAAACTCCTCTGCACTTTACATTTTATGTTTTACTTTACAGTTAAGGAAGATATAACTTTTTAGGTCATTGCGGCCCCACTTGAACAAGCTGCATTAGGCTGGCAGCTTTGAATTCTGTGTGTCTTTATGCACTTCAGTGAATCCATTCGCTAGGTCTTTTCCATTTGTTTCAGCATCGTGGTTCTCACCCCGGAACCGCCAGTGCAGAGAGCTTTGGCGCGGTCAGCAAACGCAGGGCCCGCCCGCAGAAGGGATTTTGAGATGCCTCGGCTGCAGGGTTGGGTATCGGGTGGCTGGGCAGTCCTGTGCCCAGTGGCCTGAGAACCTCTGAGACTGTGACGAGCAGTCGCCTGTCACCATGTGAGGGGCCAGCTGTCCCAGTCCATTACCTGCCAAACACCCACCCCGTCAGAATGGGCGGCAGCCAAGACCTGTCTTGGCGTGCTGGGAGGGAGCTGGGAACAGTCGGTCTGCACGAAGGTCCCTCTGGACAGGTGCTCGCCGGTGGAGCAGCTGCAGGGCCCTGAGCTCTGCTCAGCAGGGGACGTCAGCTCGCTGTCCACAGGTGACTTTTTCCCTTTGTTGAAACTATGTAAACAGAAAAATTAACACAGAGCGGGAGACTTTCTGTCAGTTGTCGTTTCTGTCGCAGTACAGGCCAGTAATGCTGGTCTGGCCGGGACTGCCACATGGCACAGGGGTACACGCAGCACTGCCGTCCCTGCCGCTGATGGGAAGCAGAGTCTAAAAGTGAACCAAATCCTGCTCCTATCGAGGCAAGTGGGACTTTCCCCTCTTGTTCCAGTGGGAAGGAAATCAAACAAAGGGTAATATTTTTGTGGATACAGTTGTGACGTAAGCCATCATCTAGGTATGGCCATCCTGTGACACTGCCTGGGGCCCGTGTTTGGCGGACAGCGCGGTGACGTGAGCTTGTTTGGTGGATCCAGCGTTGGTGGACAGTGTGGTTACGTGAGCTTGTGGCTCTGACAGTGTCCATGGTCAAACTCCCACCAACTTCAGAGCAAGATTTCACTTAGCATGGGATAGCATGTGTTTGCTATCACTATTTTATCCATTAGGTTGCCTTTGCACAGCAGTACAGGACTTCTCATGAAAATGCAGGTAAAACGTTCACGGGAAGAAAAAGTAACTCAGTACCAAGACAGGCTACATTTCAGTCTTGAATCTAAATCCACATTGTGAAGCACAAGCGCAAGCTTTCACCAGTAGTTGGTGTCCTTGCTACAGCACCTGTGGATAGAGGGTCAATAAATATTTTCTTCAGTTCTCCCTGAAGAAGAAAAAGGTTTCTTTGTTTTAGTTTCTCTCTAAATATTACTTTTTTTTTCCTAGAAACTTTTAATTTTTGCACATGTTTTATTAGTACTTGATGAAAGGGAATTAGCATTCTTTTACTGAAGTTTCAGCTACGGAATTGGCTTTAATAAGCTATGTAATTGTTTTTTCTGCAGGGAAAATATTTAAAATTTATTTTTTTTAAATCATAAAATTATAATATTTCTGTTTTGCTTTAGTGCATTTGAGATGTTTTGAATGTTCAGAATTCAGTGCAACCAAGCAACAGTTTTTTATAAGCACCCATGAGCAAATGTTCAAGTCCTATGCTGGCAAAAAACCTCATGCATAGTGTTTTCCCCATTCTGTTTCATCTAAAGAAGACGGAAGTATCAAAATTTCTCCCAAAGAACAAGTAACAGATGTCATTCATTAGTAATTTAATTTCTTTTCTTAATAAAACTCAGTTGTGTGAAAAGCATAATATATTTTACTTCAGCTCTAACATATTTCTTATGATACGAGTGCCAAGCGAACTCCCAGCTGGCTATAGAGGCACGATAGGGATGTCATATACAGGCTATTATCCGAAAGAAAAGCGTCAGAGCTAGAGATTATATACCCGCAATATCTACAAAAGCTTGTGACCACCATCTTTGCATACTTATTAAATAAAGAAAAGCCAGGTATCTGCTGTGGTTTCTTGCAAATGTAACGTAATGTCAGAATAACACAGAAGGGAAAATGATTTAACGTCTCTGATAGGTAGACAGCAGCATCTGTCCCCTTGCATATATCAAACGTGGCTTAATAACTTTCTATTTACTGCTTCACGGCAGAGGTCCAGTAAATAAACAACCTGACCGAATTAGTCTATTTTTATACCTCTGTTCTGTGTAACAAACCTCTTGAACCACGCTTAATATGAACAGCAAATTTTGCACTGCACATGGAGATCTCTCAGCACAGATTAAATTAGTTATAATAAAACAATTAAAATTATTTGCTCACAGACAGGAGGAAATGGAAGAACCTGGGTGAGCAACAGAAAGGTAAAGGGTGGGTTGTCAGGACAGCGGAAGAGTAAACAACAGAACCGGGATTGTCAGGAGCATAGCAGGGTCAAACTTACTGCAAGATAACTACGCGAGAGATAATAAATCAGCAGTACGTATTAAACACCAGATGGTTGTGCCCATGCAGGAAGGCACAATGGATCATGTAACTGTGGTTGTTTCTAAGGATTACTGATTCAGCCTGACTTCACAGGGATATCCTAACAAATAAAATCTTTATGGCCTCTTCTGCTGGTGAACATTTTCTTCTACTGTTTAAAGACAGGACCACGTCTTAGCGTTTTCATTGCCCCTTATATATATGGAAAATTAATTTGTTAAGTTCCCCCAGTTTTAGCCGATGAAGACTTTTTGCCTATCTCGTACTGTACAGTTGCTTCACAGCGTTTATTACAGATCCTCAGATGGACAGACAGGCCATTGTTCCAAGCTTTAGCTCAGCTGAATCCCCAAGTGTTTCAGGCATAGAGGCAAACACACTTAAAAACTCCTAAACCTATTGAGTTGTCTTTCAAAATTGTCCAGGCAACAGAATTTATTTATAAAACTCTTGCAATCGTTGATTCAAAACAAGGTTTTCTTGTTCTGCTTTGCTCCTTTGTCCTCTTTGAACCATTTTCTTTGGAATGTTTTCGTTGTGCTTAGGAGTCAGAGATTTCCTGGGGCTTCTAATAAAGGCATTTGATTTCCACTCTCCACATACTTTAACAAGTCCAAGGATTTTGAGGTTTGACGTTAACTTGAAGAGAGCTGGAGAAAATCAGCCAAGGGGGTAAAAAGTCAGAGTTATGCAAATTATTTGTAAAATGCATAGAAAGTGAAAGAAATATTTCTTTAAATGTGGTTGGCATGGGACAGGGATTTTATCTCACCACAGAGTATCTGCATGCTCCCCTTCAAATTTATGGTGCTGACTGAAACCTGTAAAGGGGTGATCTGTAAAGTATTCCTGCTATCCTACGCTTCTCAACAGGTTTATTACCATTCGTTTATAAAATGAACAGTCTAATGAGCAGTGTTTTAGATCACAGATAGCAAAGTCTGGTCATTTGTCAAGATTAGTTTCCTGTTGTGAGATTGCCTTGTGTAAAAAAAGTGCATAACCTTGGGTTATTCACTGGAAGCTGAAAAAATACCTATAAACACCTTATAAGATAGATTTAATGAAGATTTTATAATCTCAGAATTAAACCCAACATGGTGCAGTTCGTGTATATTTGTGCGAGTGCATGTTACAATGCAGAGAGTACCGAGCACAGAGTATGGAATTTTCTTACGCTGGCAACAGACGAATTAAAGATCCAAAATCCATGCAGTATTGCCAGGCCAATTTAATTTGAACGAGTTAATACTACATTGATGGCAATCTAATTCGTTATGACCGAAAGACTGCCTTTGGAAACGTTGCTGTGAAAGCACCATCTTTCTGGCAGTAGTCAATTGCCAATAAATAACACAAAGTATTTTTTATTTACGTTAGACATCTTTTATTTTGAAGAAAAAGGAATAAAACCCCCAACACTCAGTAAAGCAGTATGACAGCAAAGGTGTAAGCCATGCACTCTGCAGCACAAGGCTCAGGAGAAAGCAGATTATTTTAATGTCTCACTTAGAAGAAATGCGGGGGGGGGAGGTGTATATGCTTTCCCGCATAAAATTTCTTGTAAACCATATGACGGCTGTTTCCCCTTCCCCGGCCGGAGGCAGGCCCCGCCGCCTCCCCGCTGCCGGGGAGGGCTCCCGGGGAGG